CGCCTTCTAAGCTGCTTTTCTAGCCGTCGACTTTGAGTTCTACTCCAGTAATGGAAAGGGCGCCATTCAGGGCCAGGGATACATCTATAGAAACCTAGCAGAGTATGTCTCTTCTTATGAACCCCAAAAGCCTAAAACTCATATCTACTCAAGCACCTTCCGCCCAAGGCTTGTCAGACTCATTTCACCCATCGACACTGCTGTCCACGACATCATCCTCGTTGACAGCCCCAAGTTCCACATCGTCTTTGACTTTGCCGAAAACCTCGAGGTGTACCATCTGACCATCCGCGGGGCAAATCTGGGTTCCTACGATGGAGTTGATGTCGTTGGAACAAACTACTGGGTCCACGACATTGAAGTGAGTATTTATTCATTCAGACAAGAAATCCGGGGCGCTCATCACGTCAGGTTACCAACCGAGACGAGTGTGTATCCGTCAAGAGTCCTTCCAACCATGCACTCATTGAGAACCTGGTTTGTAACCAAGCTGGTTCTGGTATCTCAATTGGCAGTCTCAACGTGTCAGCATCCATCTCCAACGTCGTAAGTCATTTCAAACTAGGTACATAATTAAACATTTTCTTACAGTCGTAGCACGCGCGGAACATCAACATCATCCAGGGCAATAATATTGCTTTCATCAAGACCTATCCAGGAGGCTCTGGTCATGTCACGAACATAACATTTGAGAATTTCCGATCCAAGGCATCTCTTTATGGTCTAGATATCAATCAGTACTGGCAGAATACCTTTGAGCCCGACACAGGAGCTGTGGCTTTGAGCAACCTTGTCTTCAAAAACTTTTCCGGTATGTAATCCCATTAAAGTGTCAACATGGCTGTAAACTTATCATTACGTATTAGGATCTGTCGCTGATGGGGCAAAACGACCTCCCCTGTTTTTGGCTGCCAATGACTTGTCATTTGCCATCAACGTAACAGTTGAGGACTTCAGCATTTGGACCGAATCTGGAACTTCCGTCGTCAATAAGATCAGCAACGTCTATGGTAATGGAGACGACTCATACGGAGAGGCAGATAGGGTTAAGTCACTTGCTTCTGGACAGTCCCCTACGCCATATACTAGTGTCTACACGGTTACAGCAACGCCTTCAGGTTGGACTGCACCATCGTTTCCCACTTGGGCTGCTGCAAGCACAGGATATGGAAGTGAGTCAGTCATGAGTACTATTAGGGATGGTCGCTAACAAAAACGTAGCTGATGTGCCTATTCCCGTCTATACGCCGGCTGCTCTCTGGAAGCCTAATGGCGATTACGATAAGCACTATTGGGGTTCCTTCTAGGTTTTTTGAAATCTGATAGCAAATTTTGTTGAGTTTACTGGGAATTGTAAAGCAATTACTGTGATGACCGTTGCAATCAATGACGATGCTCTGAGGACAGGTATACTGGGAAACTGCAAGGAGATAACAGCATGACTTAGTAGATGAAGCGTAGCTTAAGGAAATTTTATCACGGGGTTCCCATGCTGTAGGGAGCGAGATATGATGCTGCAAGGTAAACCCCTTGACTGTTGATTCCATTCTAATTGATCCTCGAGTGGCACTTCCTATGACTTCTCCTGTACTCTCGGGGAACCAGTTAGATATGCGGGAAGGAGGCACGCCGATATAATAGCAAGCAGCCACCTAGGAATAGTGGAAATGAACTTGGTATGCCCATTGATGTGTAAGGCGTTATTTTTTCATGTGAGAGAGCTTTGTGATACCGAATTGAGATGCACTCGAGGGTTTTTTGGTTACAATTCAGGTCTGATTTATGAGAAGTAAGCAGCTGTGGAACACAATAGACCACTATGCCGTACGGCAAAAATAGAAGATACCTTCTGCTATTTACAGAGGCAATTAGGTCATATAATGCTGCTCAACAGCAGCGAATCAAGGTGGGTGTCATCTTGACTTATCTCCTTAATTTTTCAGTTTACCCTCTTTGACGGACTCGTGTTGATGGAGCAGGCAGTAGTATTGCACCTCCTACAGCGCATATGATTTTAAGCGTACAGAATGTCTCACTCTCTCACCATCGCATATCGTTATGTACGCAGTCGTAGTCAAATTCAAGACGCATAATCTCATATACGCAGCAGTGTATGGTCAGCATCACGTTGCACTAGACCAAATCCTCCATACTAAACAGATCCGGCGCAGCCGGTGCTGACGCTGACGACGGTGAGAGTTTCGGTTTCTGCAGCCATGTCGCGTCGTAATTTCCAGCTAATTGCTGTAATACGTCATTGTGCTGACATTTGTAATCGTCACCATTAATGGGAGACGATCTCTGCTTCCCGCCCCGCGCTTTTTAGAAAAACTTTTATTTCAAGGGGTTTCCCAGATCTCAATGTTAGTATTCCTTCATTTACATAGCTGCTGTGGACCGGCATTCACCCAATCATGCGTTTCTCACTGTCACTTCTTGGATTGCCTCTTTGCTTAGCCTTTGCTGTCCCTGAGAACATCCAGCCACGGACAGAGGGTGGCGTCAATCTCGCAGAATGTCATTCGGCCAAGGAAGTCATCAAGCTGCTTGATATGCAGCCCTCTGCCGAGAAGGGCTATTTTGTCGAAACGTTCCGCGACAAAGCAGTCACAGCCAACAATCGTTCCGCCAGCACAGCCATCTACTACCTGCTTGAAGGAAAATCAGGCTTCTCTCTTTGGCACAAGCTGGATGCTGCAGAGGTTTGGCACTACTACGCAGGAGCACCACTCGAACTCTATGGATCTAAGAACGATGGAAGCTGCGTGAAGAAGAACCTGATGGGACCGGACATCTTCAAGGGACAGAGGCCACAAGTGGTGATTGAAGAGGGAGAGTGGCAGAGAGCTCGCAGTTTGGGCAAGTGGACACTTGTTGGCACTACAGGTAAGAGAAAGCAAACCTGATGCATGCTCGGACAGCTGACCTTGACATTTTTAGTTGCTCCAGGATTTGACCCCAACGGAGAGGTGCTTCAGGCAGAGAGCTGGGAGCCACAAGGCTGTTAGAAAGGTTATTGGAGTATTTTGGTTCAACATTAACGGGATGCATGTTCTTGCTCTGTCTTTCCTCTTGACGTGCCATACATGAAGGGAATCGGAGTAGACATTGAGGGTACTACTTTGGCCCTTTTGAAGGCGCCGTAAAGTAAGAAGAGTACGCACAAGAGAGGTGAAATAGAATAGGGATATTTCTTCCGCCTAAAAACTATCTTGACTGAGTCTCCTGACCTCATGTATCACAGAGGTCCCATTGCCTTGTCATCTAAACCGGCTTGGTCTCCAACTCCCGCAGACCCTTGTTCTCATCATCGATGGTTGAGATGATGGACTCAAGATCAGTATGACCAATTATCTCGAACATTGCTTTGTGGGGTAGAACTTGCCACCCAAAATCTGAAACACAGACATACGGGGTCTCCTATAGCCAGGCTCGGAGAAGAGAGGCCTGACAAAGCCTCGAATGCCGTGCTCAAAGACCAATTCCGATACTTCGCCATCCGGGCCCCATACCCTGTCATACCCTGTCATAGCCCATGTCACGGTAGTCGTTTGTCCAATTATGCGGGGGTTTGAGCTGTGTTCAGCTGGTTTGCCGTGGACGGGGTGGTAAGGGAGAGAGAAGTACTCCTCCAAGTGCAGTGACGCATTTGCCGTTGGAAATTTCTAGCACGTCGCTCATCATGATGAAGATAGAGACCGTGAGTGGAATCAAAAGGGAAGAATCTGCTCAGAGGTGTCGAGAGGAGCAGGCAAGCAGAGAGTGAAGATGGAGATCTGGGAAATTCCAGAATGGTATAGGTTAGTGGGCATATATAGATGGCGTCTCGATCGCCAAACTCCACCGACGTCAGTGGTGGCTTTGGATTGAAGTCTGAGCGCGATTAGATACATGTGATGATCCTTGAAATCCATCCATTGGCAGATATCCTTAATTGTGAACTTCATGGCGCCTCCAAGAGATACAACGTAGACATGGTCGAAAACTTGTCATTGGCCATCCTATCCATTCGCTGCCTAACTTCATCCCATCCAAGCAGTGAGATCTCGGCCAAAAAGAATAGAACTCTGAGGTAAGGTGAAATATCAAAAAGTTAGTTTTTAACTTTTTTTATTATTTTTTTATTATTTTTTTTATGGCGCCCGGTCAGAGTGGTCGGTTCATCCGCCCGTTGGCTCATGTGGGCCCCTCTGGAGTTTTGCTCCTCGGGGGCCCGTGGCCCCGCACGAGCCAAACGGGCAGGAAAGAGAGTTTGGTTTTGTGGTTTGTTTGTGGTGTTTGACCACTCGACCAGGCGCCGAGCACTTTGTGCTTTTTTTGGGGGTGGAAGAGTAAGGATTGAACCTGGTTATAAAGCTTCCAACAGTAACAGTGACGGTGATTCAGTGTCAGCCACTGCCGGACTGAGCCACAAAACAGCTTAGCCACACCACAGAACCCGTGTGGGGCCGGCTCCATGTGGGGAGCAGCAATGCCGTCTGAACCCCACATGAATCAGGCATTGACGGATCTTACCATCACAACCAAGACCATCTTCGAGCTCCTATGTCTCTGTCTTTCTGTACTCGGCTGATGCTAGACCGAATTCTCTTACCGCTGGCTCAAAATTCGCCGACCTGGACATTCCTTCGTCGTCCTCGCCGATATTAAAGCCGACCATGGCGGTCTACGGTGTTGCCGCGGTGACAGATCTTAATGTTTATCTGGATCCGGAACAGAACACAATAGCTCGCATCTGAGGCACGATTAGAGCCCACTGGTAGCCAAGCTAACATCGCACTACGGTCTACTGGATTCTTTCTTCTAAGCATGAAATTTCTCTTCCCTTTTTTTTTTATTTTTTTTTATTTTTTTTAGCATAGGTACTTGATAGCAATCTGTTCTTTGTCATAGTTGCAGCCCGGCCCTCGATGGATTAACTGGCTGCAGCCCTTCTTTGTCTATCATTGTTTCCTCGTCTAGGTAGTCTATTCATTTTCTAACCTGCGTATGCGAGCACATCAGGTAGCTACTTCATCCATATCCGGCGTATATCTCAAGTTTGGCGGCAAAAGTGGCTTCGGCGGCCACTCCCCTGGCTCGAAACCACATGTAAACAAATGCACCCCAGACCCGACGATCTGGTTCGGCTCCTCCGTGTCAGACTCTACATCAACCTTCATGTGGCAAGGCAACGTGACGACAGCGTGGGAGTTTGGCGGCACCACTAGGTCCATCCTGAATCTTTCCTTCTCTGGCGCGTCTTGGTCCAACCTCCATGAGCACTTGATCAGCCCGTATGGCCCATCGAATTCCACCTTCGCGTGCGTGAGGTTGCCGCCTGGAACAGGCCGTACGCGTATCTTCTTCCATCCAGGATCCACCGGGCTAATTCCACCGACCGAGGAGTGAAGCCAGTCGGCGACAGCACCAAGAGCATAGTGGTTGAAGCTCGTCATCCGTCCAGGATTGATGTGCCCATCAGGCAACATGCTATCCCATCGCTCCCACATGGTAGTCGCGCCCATCGTCACTGGATAAAGCCAACTTGGGCACGACTGTTCTAGCAAGAGTCGATAGGCTAGTTGTGGCTGACATGTCGCTGTCAAGGCGGGTGTGATGGCTGGTGTGCCTGCAAAACCGGTCGCGATCCGAAAGCGCCCATTACGCACGAGCTTCGACAAGTTCTGCGCCGCGTTTCGGAGTTGCTTCTTATTCTTGTAAAGATTGAATTGTACTGCCAGAGCGATGCCGGTCTGTGTGTTAGACATGAGATTGCCCACAGGTGAGATGTACTTGTCCTGGAAGAGGCGCTTCAAAGTCGTAGCATCAGCTGCATACTTTTCTGCGAGATCCGACTTGCCAAGGACCTTGCATACTGCAGCAAAGACTTCCGTTACATGCACAAGATATGCATCTGCGACAAGTACCTTGTCCGTGAGAGCAAGAGCCGGACTTTGAGGTGGCGCATTTGGATCAAGCCAGTCGCCAAACTGCCACCGGTAAAAGTCCCAGAGCCCATCTTCGCCTCTATCCACGCCCTGATCAAGCCAAGCCTGCATGCTGCTAAACTGTCGTTCTAACAGAGCCTCATCTCCGCTGAAATTGTAGAGGTCGTGGGGCGTCAAGACTGTAACGTCATGCCAGATGGCTTGGGGAATCCGTGGCCAGTCTGGGAGGGGCACATCGGGGCAGACAAATCCTGGTATTCCACCACGGCCCTCCTCTAATTGCTCCGCAGAGAGATCTTGAAGCCAGTTCTCAAGAAATCCCACAGTATCGTACAAGAAACTCGCAGTAGGACAAAAGATCTGGATATCTCCCGTCCAGCCGAGTCTCTCATCGCGCTGTGGACAGTCGGTCGGGATTGACAAGAAGTTACCCTTCATCGACCATCCGATATTAGAATGAAGCTTATTTAGCGACTCGTTTGATGACTCAAAGAAGCCCCTCCTCTTCATGTCGCTGTGCATCACCAGCGCTGAAAGGTTTCGGACAAGGTCGTCGTTAGAGCCAGGCCAGCCATCAACCTGCACGTACCGAAACCCGTGAAAGGTGAACTTGGGGGACCAGTCTTTCAATGCGGTGCCAGAGCCGATGATTTTGTCTTCGCATTTTGCGTCGCATAGCGGCCTTGTCCCAAGTTCTCCAAACTCGAGGACTTCAGCGTGTCGAAAGACAAGTCGAGCGTCCGCGGGTAACAAGACAAAATCTACTCTGACCTTTCCCACCAAGTTTTGCCCAAAGTCCACGATGAGCTTGCCGCCTGGAGATATGATGATTTCCTTTGGTTGTCTTGTTTCTATGATTCGAACGGGAGGGCTGTTCGTCGTAATGAGGCTCATCTGTTGCGGTCGAGGTATCGTTTTTGCAGGCACCCAGCTCTTGGCTGAATCATGCATGCTCTTGATGGGGGTCTTCCACTCTGGATTTTCCAGTCGCATGTCATAAACCTCTCCATTGTATAGCTCGCTTGAAGTGATGGCACTTGGTCCGCAAATCCATGTTTCGTCGGTGCCCAACGTCCACTTCTCTGACGGGGAGACAACTTCAAGTTGTGCCATGGCAGCGATCTCCTTGCCTCCATAGACGAATCTCGACCCTCCACGAAACCCCAGCTTGGTCGCGTACCAGCCCTCCGCTGCCTCGATGGAAAGTACGTTGCTGCCTGTGGTGTTGAGATACGGGCCGACATCGATGACGCGATATGTGAGGCGATGGTTGTAGCTGGTCCATCCTGGGGCCATGCATTCGTCGCTTATGGCATGGCCGTTGAGATAGGCTTTATAAACCCCCAGAGCCGTGATGTATAGTCGACAAGTCGTGAATGTCGCTGCAGACGGAGGCAAGTCGAATTGGCGACGGAAGCGTAGCGGGTGAAGGGGCCACTCAGAGCCGAATTTGGCTGAAGAGGTGATGAAAGAGGCAGTCCATTCATTTTGATCAAGCAACGCAGTTTCGACCGTCGCTACTGGGGACCAGGCAGTTGGAACACCATCCTGAATATCGTTCTCGCTCGCGGGAGAGACAGACTTGCCCCAGCAACGGACTCTGACCGACACGCGCTGACGCGAGCCCAAATCCTGGCCTGGCCAAGGAACCAAGACAGATTCTTCACTGGCCACCCTGAACAGTTCTGAGGCGCCAGTTTCAGCCCATGTCAGCTCAATCTCGTATGCCGTCTGGACCCAGTCTCGCACGTCTCGTGGGTCGGCCACCTTCCATGAAAGACGCGGTCGGCGACAGCTAACACCGAAGCCATCGGGATGGTGCTCAAAGATGGGCTTGGTAAGCTCCAAATGCTCTGTGGTCGACATCTCGGTCTGTGGCTTGAAGCTGCGTTGTCCAGATCGGTCGAAGGGGTGATCAAAGTAAGCTTAAAACATCGGCAGACTATCGACACCTGTCGCGATTACTCCTTAGTCTCTTCGATCTGCTGAATGATCATCCGGGGTCCCCAGACTCGGTGCAAGTTTCCACGAAGTCCCACGACGTCCCACGTAGTCCCACGAGCTCCTGGCACCAAGACCTTTGTGAGGGGCGAGATGACAGACGATCAAGGCATTAGGGCGAGTTGGCTCGGGTTTATACAAGACGAGAAGTGAGCGAAGGATTAAAAGGCGTGATCCTAAACATACGAAGTAGCCAATCATTGGTCTAAGGATAAGCTCATCCGGGGTCGCTTCCACTTGTCGTTCTCGGTGGGTGTTTGGCCGAGCCCCACATACCCCAGATTCGCTTGGGTTTAGTTGCTGATTGTGGACATGGGGAAATAGACTCGGCAAATGACAACGGCAATGGGGTTTCTTTCATTTCTACATCACGATATAATAAAGCGTCATGAGAGACTCGTTAATAAGAGACTGTCAAGTAGTGCACTGAATCATCAGCAGACTGCCTCAAGACACCATCGACATAGCATCGCGGCAACATCCTTGACTCCTCAACCATGCGATTGATCATCCACATCATCGCCCTCGTCACCGCATTAGGCGGTCTGGTGTTTGGCTTCGACTCTGGTGAGTAGAAATTGCTGTAATACTATGCCGTTTGTGCTAACCATCACATCACAGGCATCATTGCAACAACCTTTGGCCATGAGAGTTTTCGCATCACCATGTACGGACCTTCACAGGCCAACCCATCTCTAACCGGTGCCATCGTGTCCCTCTACAATGTCGGTCAGTCCCTCGGCGGTCTATCAGTTGGTTACCTAGCCGATAGGTTCAGTCGAAAATATACAATCTCACTGGCAGCTCTCATCTCCATCATCGGGGCAGCACTCCAAACTGGTGCCACACATGTGGGCATGATGATTGCAGGCCGACTTGTTGCAGGTGTTGCTTGTGGTCAAATGCTCGCTGTTGTTCCCATTTACATCGCCGAAGTTGCTCCTGCTGAGAATCGAGGTTTCTTGGTCGGCTTGCAGGGCATGATGGTGGCTATTGGCTTTGGTCTCGCGAATTGGGTTGGTTATGCTGGGTCTTTTGCTGCAGGGTCTGCAACTTGGCGTGTGCCCCTTGCCATGCAGATTCCGATCCCGCTTATTCTCATGGTCGCGGTTCTCTTTGTGCCCTTCTCGCCTCGATGGTGTAGGTTCCCGCTGTCCCTATTGATCTGGCGGCGGAAGTTAACCCATTTTCCAGTGATCAAGCAGGATCGTATTGAAGAGGCCAAGCAAGGTTAGTCATTCAGTCCACCGTCCTGTTGCTGAGACTCATATGTTACAGTCCTTTTCCGACTTCACGGTGGCAGCATGACTGGCAACGAGCTTGTCGCTCAGGAACTCGTCCAGATTCAGGAACAACTCAAACGTGAACAACAAGACTCCGGAACCGGCTGGGGAGCCGCCCTTGGAGCCATGTTCTCACGACAATACATCCGACGTACCGCAACAGCGGCCTTCATTGTGGTTCAAGCCCAGCTCTCAGGCGCGCCGGTCATCCAGAATTACCAGAACATCTTCTACGCCCAAGTCGGTTTCACTGGCAAGACTTCTCTGCTCATCAGCGGTGTGTATGGCATGATGGGTGTCATCGGTACTGCCGTCTACCTCGCCATTGTTGCCGACAAGTGGCCTCGCGCACGCACTCTGTGGTCCGGATCCCTACTTCTCGCCGTAAACATATCTCTCTGCATGGCTCTGAGCGCAAAATTTGGCGGTACTTCCTCCGACACCAACATGGACGGTGCACGGGCATCAATTGCCTTCATCTTCATTTACTCGGCTCTATTCGCCATGTTCTTCAACGCGATGATCTGGGTTGTCCCGTCGGAACTGTTCCCCATGTTCCTCCGATCCAAGGGTCTGGCGTTCGCCGTCTTTATGAAGAGTGTTGTGGCCATTGTTCTGTCACAGATTACTCCAGTTGCTTTGGCAAATATTTCCTGGAGGTCAGTAATACCCAACTATTATGTTTCCCTTACCTAGTTTAACCAAAGACAACAGATACTACGCGCTGTTCATCGCGACCAACACCACTGCCGGTATTCTCTACTACTTCTTTCTTCCAGAAACCGTGAGCATCTCCTATCCTCCTCTGGAAACGTTGCTAATCCCGCATTCAAGGGGGGTAAAACTCTCGAAGAAATTGCAGAACTGTTTGGCGATACTCTGGCCACTGAACACCTTGGCGAAATCGACCTTGACGCAAAGAATGCTGCGCTAGTGGATGAGGTCGAGGACAGAAGGTGAAGGTGCTATGTCACTCAGTAAAGCGAGCAGCCATGTATCAGAGGGCCCTCGGAGCACGCCCGTTGTCGTCAAAGAGGGACTTCTCGATGCACAATAATTTCATTCTTTTTAAGTGAGACTATTCAGTCTTCAACGACGCCGTTGCAAATACTCATTCATAACTCGCACCAATGTCGTCTTGTGCCTATCCTTTTCTTCCTCCACGTTTACTTCTTGGCCACAGCCTTTGCGAGGTCGGTAAGAGCCTCACGGCGCTTGAACTTGGCATCCTCGATGGCATCTGTAATTTTTTGTCAGTGTTATGTATTGGCCTGTGAATTTATGTCCTACCAGCATCGGCATCGCTCGAAAAGTTACCGGTCCAAGTGACGAATGTCTGGCCTGCGTGCTCGCCTGACGTGACGGGATAGAGTCTGACGGTGCTCACAGCAGATGTATAGGTGAGGGCAGGCTGAGATGAGATGATGCTGTACGTGATGTAGTGCTCGATGGTCTACAACATGCCAATCAGTACTGCATCTCAAGTAGGCGATCATCTAACTTACAGAGTGCTCCTCCTGCTTGACCTCAAGCACGGTGCCATCCTTGAAAGTCCATCGGACGATATCCGTGTCAGGAGATGTGCCCTTGACCCATTCGCTCTTCTCAAGGGCAGAGTAGAACTTGGCAAAGTCCTGGAGCTTGATGAGGTGCCAGACGTCACTGAAGGGAGCCTCGATGACGGCAGACTCGATGACAAAGTTGGACATGGGAATTCGGGAAGCCATGATGGTTTCAGGTAAAGTAATTTGCTTGTTCGATTGAGTTGAGTATTGTATGTGCTTTTGTAGAATTCAGGTGTGAAAGGTGAATGATGTTATAGCGGGGTGATGTGGTCGTGTCGTCATAGCCGTGTGAAGGGAGAGGGAGATGCCTCAGGCACGGATGTCTTGTGCCGTCGATCTTGCCCTGCCGCTAGCTGAATCCGGTCAGACTATAGTTCAATGGCTGGCTTGTGGTATGGATGTATTCGCGCCTGGTATCTGTGCAACGTGTTGCCATAGTAATTGTGGCACCGGGAACTGCTGGCCCAGAGACTATGTTATTGTGGAGTCTGCAGACTAGAGTGTCTCCCTCCCTAGTACATCCTATATCCGTCGAGGAACTGAGAAAACACCTGGTTGAAGATACTTCTTGCAAGGCTATAACATCTCGAGATAATTCTATTCGCCGGCTTGTCAAACTCTATTCGTAGCGTTTCCACTCAAATTCGACCTTGATTGCTCATTCATCAGTGTATTGATCCTTTTCTAGTAGAGCTTCCTTATTAATGTGGCCCTGCTTCTTGATGATGTCAAGGTCTGCCAGTCCAATCCACACGAGAATGCGTAACAATACTCTGTAGCCTCCCAAAAGTGAGGTTTTGCCTGTCGCTAGTCTAGTAATGTGAAGTATTAGCGTGATTTCGGGCACGGGATGCCGCAGTTTGTGCACTCACTCCATGCAAGAGTCCGCAACGTATCGGTTGAGAACCATCACCGCGCCGACCATTCCGATATACACCGGGACTCCGGCTGGAAGACCCGAATCATGGATGGCGATAACAGCTCCAAGAAATACTCCATGTGCGTAAATCGTGGCGAACGAGTGTAACTTATTCATCTTGAACCTCTTGCCAAGGAAAATGATAAGCCGAGTGTAAAGAAAGGCATGTAAGAGCTTGACGGACGCTCGATGGACAAATGCACTCTGATTGAGCAGTGCAACCAATGCGACGAAGGGTCGCATCAATGCAGGAGCTTGGTATGAAGCTCGCGTCGTCTGATCGCCTCGGAGTAATTGTTTAGCCAGGCCAAGAGTCGTAGCAGAGTGAACAAAGCAACCAACTATGTCAAAGACATCAGGGAAGACGTCTCCGCTGACAGCTTGTGCATAATATCTTAGTAGTTCGAAGGAGGCGGACAGGATATGCAGCATCAGCATCAGTGATGTCTTCTTTCCTGATGTAATTCGATAAACTCGTAAACTGCGCCTTGTGTGATACCCAAAGATGCATGGGTTTACTGAGCCGAGTAGTAAATATTGTGCTGGTCGGCCAACTGCCGAAGAAGCCAACAGTGGCCCAAAAGCGCTGCCAGGACTGGTAAAGGCAAGATAAGGCTGCATCTTCGTGCGTTATTCCAGTTTTGTGAGTCAATGAAGTAGATGTCAAGTAAGTAGGTAGTATGAAGAGTTTCTGAAAGAGGAGGAAAGACGGAAATCACAAGAGAGGTTTCTTGCTGGTCTCATGACACGAAATATGCTTCTGGGACGTTATTTATCTTGGCCGATTCACCAACTACTTGTTCTCAACTTTCTCTAGGATGCTTTTCCCGGGCCGAATCGATGTTGAAGCTGGGCAGAACCGTGTGCAAATGACGGCATGTTGAGACACGGCTAGTAGGAGCGCACGATCGCACGGAACATCACACCCACATCCTTGCGACAGAAGTTTCGAGTGGAGCTAAGAACTATGTGCAGGGAAATAGATTCAGGATGAAGAGACAAATCCAGTTATAAATCCCGCGTTGAATACACAGCCGGTCTGTTCCCGAAGAGGGATCGTCGAGATAAAGATGCACATCATGGTGAGACACACGGCCCAAGGGACGGAACGGGAACTAGTGGAACATTGTGTCAAAGATAATTCGTAAGCTATCGTGCTATTTCAGTATCCATTCGCTCCCGGATGCGAAAAATTCGCCTAGATCTACCTTGTCCCGAAGCCATTACCCACCGTCTCGCTGATAAATCGAGTCGTCTAGTGATACAGTATTCCCTCGCATGATTTCGGTAGGCTTTTTCGGGATTGATCAGGAAAATGTATGCCGTTGCTTGCAGAGTAGGAAATTTGACAGGTTTCACGAAGCGACTGCTTCGGCTCCTCCTCTTGAGCTCTTTGGCATTTTGGCTGCCGAACAGCTACTTCTGTCTCCTATTTCGCTTATAGACAGCACTGGCACTGGATCTTCTCTCCACTCACAACCAACAGATCCGAGTAATCGCGCCGATGGCGGGCCGTGTTAGCGAAAAAGCGAAGCGTTGTTTCGGGAGGCGAGTTTCCGAGTGTTGCCCCAGTATCCTCGGGTGTTTCAAGAGAGCAAAAATTCATACAATATTGTGGATATGTTTCATCAAGCTAGAAGGTCAGAAAAAGCTAGTAAGGTGTCGATTTCTGGCCTTAATTCTCTGTTGCTGTCGGGACCATCAATGCTCTAGTACTAGGACCGAGCTCTCCCGATAGCTAGGATTGTAACATTGACAAACCATAACATAGAATGACAACCATTCTAATACTAGTTAAATCTAATATGGCCACTTGGCTATGGAAAACGTCGTGGATCAAGCTCGATCTACACGAGTCAAGAGGCCTTCACAGTGAAACACTCACGAGTCAACCAAACATGCTGACTGGCATGTGCATTCCAAAATCTGAGATAGCCGAGGCAATGTTGGTCGCGAAACATGATAAGCTGAAAGTCGGCGCGGCTGTCTCAGATCCTCCGCTCCGAGACTAATGTGTATCATGGACGGAACCGGAGACTAAGGTTACTATCCTGATCCCTGGACGGGATTCGTCATTTACCCCGAGCCCGTATGCGTGGTGGGGCCGTGGATTCCGGAATACCTTGTTCAGGCCAAACTCTGAACTATCTATGTAACCAAGGTGCGTGGCTCGGCCACTTAGGCATGCATAACTCCGCCCCAGGTGCCTAACTTGACAATTGCTGTGCTCTATGCCGTCCGTTACTTCTGGTCTTTCTTTCTATATCGTGCTGATAAGTGCGTTTTGGCTTCCATGTTTGACACTCGATCTGGATGAGAACAGTTTGGTCAACAGATATCATACATCTCCATCCACCACATATACTGCTCGACCACATGAGCTTCATATCGTAAAACTTCGGTCTACATATAGTGAATCATGGAGCTATTGCCACCTGTTATATCGGGTATAAACGTCCAGTTTGAATCTACTTCCGCGGCGCTGCCTTTCCCCTCCCTTCATGACACATTAGATATAAAATCCGAGACTCCCCTTTCCTTAACTTCCCTGGGTATACCGTACTAAAAGACCAAATAAATAAGAAAACAAGAAACAACGCCTTCCTCTGTCGTTTTCATCAATGGCGTCTCTGAAAGAGGCCTTCTGCCACAATAACGAAAGATGCAGTTAATACATGACGGCATCAAAACTTAACACCAGTAAAACACCGCCACCTACAGTCGAAGAGGGGGAGGCAATACAAGATGCCACCTTTCCTTTTACCAGGAGGGGAAATCGGCAAATTGATCCCATGTTGCCGTGCCATGTGTCGTGATTCCTTGGTTTCGCCGTGTTGGAAACTGGCGTATAATTGAGTACCACTCCAACTTTGGGCGTGTGCCCTTGCCGGCCAAACAGTATCCGCGGCGTGGACCATAGTGTGTGTCGTCGTAGCATAATCTGGAGCTTATCAGTGCTTGTCCAACGAGTTTCATTCATCAATAGTAGCCCAGTATAATAACAGACTTCCTGTAGAATGTTGAGAAAATTTGAATCCTTACCATTCCTTCATTAAAATTACCAAAAGCGAGCTCTTAACATTAAGAACCCACAGCCTGAGCTCGGTCAGTAAGCAATCAGGAACTGGCCAGTGGGGTCGCCAACTCACGATGGCCTGACTTTCAACCTCGATATCCTCTACTCTCGGACCTCAACAGGACGATCCCCACAGCGATGCACAATGCGAGACACAGGCAAGGACACACTATCAGGATGGCAGCGTACACTTTCCAGTCCTCGTCGTTTAGGTCTCGCATGTCCTTTGTCCACTCGGGCATATCGATGGACCCCGCCTGCACGAGCCAGGCCACAATCCAGATGGAGATGAGGATGACGGTGAAGATGAACTGCCAGGCATGGTAAAAGCCCTGCAGGATCAAAGAGAATGAGAAACGTGACATTTCAAACAGTTGCTCGCTTAACTCAGGCACGTAGAAATATGATGGCGCCGTGCTAGGAAAACGTTGATGCAAGGTCCCAAGTTATATCCTCCCCTCCGAAACAAAGGCATGTCACGCGGGCGGTGCGAGCTGACGGCGCTCAAACAGGCTTCTTGATTCGTTTCTCGGGGTCCGGAAAATGCGCTGTTCGGAACCCTCGGATGTCACCAAACCCCGGTCTTGCATGGTAGCAGCTTATCGTGGGAGCAGGGGTCTGCCCACTGCAGAGTGTTAGTGGGTTATGAGTCCGTAGGCGATGGGGTGGTTGGTTCATGGCGCTGATCTGATGCACAGCCCTCACCGTAACTTGGAATATACACGCAGGACGAATTACCAGTTGCGTAAGAGCGGATTAAGGTTAAAAGAGTTGCAGCTATGGTGGGTTCAGTATCCACGCAACGTTTGTTGCGTCTTTCGACCTGAGAAGGGCTCTGAACCTTTAGCAGAGAGAAGAAAACCTTGACTTGTTTGCTAACGGGCTTATGGCGTCATTCACGTAACAACAGGGCGCAGCTGGCCCGACAAAGCCTGTGCAGGGGTGTCTAGCGGCGATCATCGCGGGTCGATGCACGTCGGAGACTTGACAATTGCCGAGATTCTAGGGTAGGAGGACGCGTTTACGTTGATCACAAAACAAATACATTTTCTATATTAAATAAAGAACGAAAATGTTTGTTTCCTAACATGAGAAGCAATCAAGTACAAGATTTAGGTCCATCCCCGGTTTCGCACTACCACTACCGTCCTACATCCCTTTACCAAGAGGGACATTGCGCAATATGGGACGAATCGAGAGGCTTTGAAGTCTTCAAGCCTGGAATTGGTAGCTTTCTTCAGAAACTTTTGGAAACAAAATACCACACAACTCGAGGTCAATGCTGGCCTGCCAATACAGGTTATCGAAAAGAGGAGGTTGGAGTCCGAATTCCTTCTTATGACTTTGAAAAAGGAGAAAGATAGAAAACGATGTAGCTGCTTCCATGCTTGCGCGCGTGAAGAGAAAGGTTGAATAATTTGAAAAGCGAAGGCCATAGTAGTCATAACAGTTACGAACTATTCGATCCATGTAAAGCCCCCTGACCAGCAACCTAACTGTCCATAGATCTCCCTAACCGCGCCACGAAGCGTTTCTCAATTTGCCCAAATGGATTGGAAAGGCTGGTAACTAGAAGTCAGTTCTACCTCAGACACAAGAACTATTTGCAAAGTGAACCTTAAGCCTCCGCAAGTTGCAGAGCGTCTCAAATAATGTATGCTTCCAGTGCCATAAAGAAAGGCCAGGAACAGCTCCAGGAAACCTGCTTTTCTTCCAAGGGTGTAGACTGTAGACTGAATAGCTTTGGCATATAACTAGAAATATCGCGTTCCGTTAACAACTGGAAAATTCTCCAAGATGACTCAAATTCAAATTTGCTATTTTGATAGGAGAGATCGTTCAGTGAAAGGTTAATATCCACCTTGACAATCGTGCCATACCCAAGGTTATTTCTTCTAGAAGAGCTAGTCCTTGTTCCCTGCCACGGTTCCCTTAACTTGTGGTACAAGATAGTCCTTGATGTACTGATCGTTCCTCCATCCAGACCAGTCGGGCTTCTTGATTCCCCAAGAATCGTCAAACTCCTGAATACCCTGTCTAGTGTAGTATCGACCAACAATAACCCAGATGAACCAGCTTGCTTGAGCCTCAGGAAGATACTCTGAAAGGCAGCTCATGTATGTCTTGGCCTTGTTGTAGTTGTCGCCCTCCATTGAGTGTCCAAACTCGGTGAGCATGACAGGGAAGACATTCTTAGTGTTGGGATCCGATGCGTTCATAGCCTGGAAGCCCTTGGTGTAGAGGTTGTATCGGAGCGAGCTGCAGCTTCCAATGCTGTTCTCGTAGTTGTGAATCTCCAGGACAAGTTTCTCGCCGTACCCGGCAAAGTCATCTCGGCTGAACGTCTGGGTGCTTGGGTCCAACGCGGCTCCCGTAAAGAGGGGCGTGACAAAAGTGTCATAGTTCAGGCCAGAGATGATGATGAGACTATCAGGATCGGCCTCATGAACGGCATCAGCTCCTTGGCGCATAAACTTGTACAAGTCTCTCCAGTTGTACGACTTGCTGCGGAGATCTTCGTTGTTGGTGGGAGGTCGGGGCTCAT